CACACAGACTGTGAGTGACTTAGAGTATGCAGACGACATTGCCTCCGGGGGGGGGGGAAAAAGTGCTGGGGGTGGAAAAAACGGGGGGGGGGGGGGGGGGGGGGTGGGGGGCGTATACCTATGGGGGGGGGACAATAAGGGGGGGGGGGGGGGGTATAAAACAGGGGATATATGAGAGTGGAAATATGAGTGCTGGACAGATTAGGACTGGCTGTCAGCTGCTTTGGGCTTTGCTTTGCACCATCGAAATGCAAAGCGTTGCTACAAGATTGGCAAGGATCGCCCCCTGTGCTGACCCTTGGTGGGTATCAGCTAGAAGTCATTCCTAAATTCAACTACCTGGGAAGTTGTATCAGCGCCCTTGGGATCGAAGACGAGATCAAGAACCGTATGGCAAAAGCTCGAAGTGGTTTTGCTAATCTTCGCTACCTATGGCGGCGGCGCGACATTACTCTTACCTTGAAGAGTAGAGTGTAAAATGCAGCGGTACGTTCGACCTTAGTGTACGGTTGCTAAATCTAGCCCCTAAAATCGGCGGACATGAAGAGACTAGTTACGTTCGACCATCGGTGCCTTCGCAGTTTGCCTCACCTCTGGTGGGAACACCGCGTGAGCACCGAGCGTGTTCGACGCCTTGTTTACGGCACAGGAGAAGGAACTGAACTGCTCAGCACCGTCATTTCACGCACCAGGCTCCGATGGCTGGCCACGTGTTGCGCATGCCAACTCATCGATTTCCACGACGTGCGTTCTTTGCTCACCGTGGATGTGGATGGAAGAAGAGGAGGGGTGGCCAAGCGATGACTTGATCAAGAGGAATGAAGGCCCTCACTTCGGAGCTGGCCTCGGTTGGAGCGTCACGGCTCCCTGGTTGGGGTCCAAAAGATAGTGAACACGTTTGGCTGGATACACTTGCTGACATGGCAAGGAGACGACCTTAGTGGCGTTCCTGCTGTGAGTTTCTTTGTCTCTCCCCATCCCTTTTAGCCTCCCCCTCCACCTACGATCTCATTTCTTAGCGTAAAACACAATACTTTTTTCTTTTTGCCTTGTAGCCGGCTGGTAGCTTACCGGAACGATGCCTATCCGTTGCTGGTAGCTCAGCTGGCATGCAAATTTGTATTTACTTTCCTTTTCCTTTATGTATTGCGGCACAGTAGTTGAGGTGTTTCCCACCTCTAGCTTACGTGTATAATGATCATGACCTCTTGGCTCTTGTTGGTTGCATACGAGTATCTATCACATGATGGTTTAACCGCCTCTACTTCACCTTTTTTACAGCCTCTTGTGAGTATAGTTTTGCGGCCTACCTTTCTCCTATCTTTGCATGAGCTCATTACCTTGCCCGTTATCATTTAAGCAACCACATAAATGTTCCTTAGCCTTTCAACTCATGAATATTTCACAATAGGGCACTTGTTACTACGACCCCACTTGTATCACCACGTACTACCCTTGCTCGTTAGAACACTCCGAACCGAAATGCTCACACCGCACACTTTTTAAACGTGCATAAGTTGTCCACTCTTTACTCTTGGCTAGTCTTTTCGCTACTTAGTTTGCCACGTTTCTTGACCTCTCCGTACTTTCACCATGGTGTTATTCACAGATCCATATAGTGTTTACATCCAAGCGAACGACGTCACGATGCTCTCTAACAGTTGCGCGGTAATTTAGGCCTTAACCATGGGTTTTACGTTTTCGAACTTCAAATGTCCGTGCAGAACCGCTCCTCTACTACATCCTGTGCTGGGAGTGGGTCCGTTGATCAATTTGCATACTTTGCTGAGGACAGGGATGTGATACTTCTCACAGTGCGATAATTTGGGTTTTTTCCACTTGCGATAATTATTTTGTCCGATTATGCCGCTACTGTGCGGGCAGTACTCTTCTGCCAGCCTTTCTCATTCAACGCTGTTAGGCTTGGTACTTCTCAATTCATTGACCACTACCGTCTACGGGATTTTCGTTGTGTTACATAACTTGGCAGCCAGAAAATGGCAATGTTCACGGACCATCTGATGCGGCCTGTTTTACCGACGATCAAGACCGGGCGAAATTCTGGAGTCTAGGAATGCTGATATTTTCTAGTTATTTTCCGCGAAAAGACACCTTTTTCCATGACACGAATCTCATAGAGACCGCTTATCAACTTGGACTGATGCTATCAGTCTGTTGAGTATTTTACTGTCTAACAGCTCTAGCGACTTATCTTTCATCTCCCGTGGCATCTTATCGTAACTGGCTGTTTTTCCTGTCTCCACGTCTGTTTCCTATTCTCACTTCCCTTCCTTTTAGGGTACTGACTTACAATTGTCTGTTTTCTATGGGCTATCTTCTGTCGCCTCGTTTTAATATCTTTCCTTCTCGGTGCCCCGTCTACTAAGTTCGCTTCTCCTGTGAATGGCGACATCCCTATCGATTTTTGCTCTTCTACCGTTCAGATCATTGAGATAAGTATTTTCTTCATCCCTGTAGCTTAGCTTAATGATTCATATTTGGGTTTATTGGAAATAGATCAGATCAACTGTAATTGTGACAATCACATCTTGTACGTTCTCGACTTGTTTCGAACGGCACTTCCTTCCCACCACCCGTCTCTTTCCATTTCATCCCAGCCCAGTCTAGTCGCAGCTGCATGGAAATCGCCTACGGCACTCTATCCGGACGGGTCTGTTTAATCGTTCAGTACCCCGAGAACGTTGGATTTAGTCCCCAGCCGTTGCAAACCTTCAGTGTCCATCGTGCAATGGTAACACGGGTGGTTTTATCCGAAAAGCATCTGATATCCGGTTAGTCTCGTTCACTTGACCATTTTATTCCTGTAGCCACCTTTCTTTCCCCTGGGTTGCACGTATTAATACGAGCGTCAGCACCTCTGTCTACTGTAACACGCAGCCCTTCACCGTACTGCTGGTCTAATGTTAACTTTCTTTCAAGGGTTTACGGTTTTTGGTCTGTCACTAAAATGTCCCCCTTTGAACATATTTGTGACTGCTTTTTGTCCTTCACTAATGATGACACTGAGTACGCTTTCTGGTTTTTCCTATCGAATGATCACAAAGACACCATTCATCCAATTTATGCAAGTGAACTACATGAAGCTTGAACTGCGGCTCTCGATACTCCTAGCTCACAGATAGTTCAACCCAACCAGCAGCGAGCCAGTAGCCGTTGTGGCATACGTTATCTGCAGTGTTCCGTATTACGTGTGGTTGAAGGCGTCTGCGACTAATCTCAACGTTCCGATTTCAAATCGCGGTTCGACTAGAACTTCCGATCAAGCATGAAATTGGTGGTGGTTTGCGGCTTCTGGAATGGATACAATCTGGATTGTGCCTCGCACCGTCGAAGATTATACCGTTTATCTACCTATTTCTAATTTTATACTTGCCTTATACTCTATCGGTTACTTAGTTTCACTACATTTGCTTAACGTTCGGTGCCTGCTGTCTTATAACCCCATCCTTTTCAGCTTAGCTGGATACTTATGTACTAACCTGATCTGTGCAGGTTTCATGAGTAAGTGGCTGCCGAGAGTCAAACTGTGATTAACTGAGCTCCGTAACTACTTGGTCACACAGCACCATCTGTACTTTAACCGTAACGTTACATACACATTTTGCGTGGGTTTCTCGTTTTTAAGTCCAACCAGACCGCTGCGCGCATCTACATCGAATGCTGAAGTATTTGCTCCCGTAGACTTGTTTCTGGGAGTTGGTGATCTAACGCAGTGATCCACAGTTGAGGGGAGCCCTATTTTGGCCAAATGTAGGGTGCTGAAAAGTTCGAGGTGAGCAAAAGTTGACTTGGCAGCAATAAATGACGTCACTGACGACCAACTTGGATGTTGTTAGTTCTTCTCTTTCCAGGTTGACGACCACATGACCTACCTTGCGCGTGGTTCTGAACTTTACGCGGCATGGATCGCAACCGGCATGATGGGTGCATCTGCCATCGTCTCCTAGCCGGGTGTCGGCCGGTGGACGAGTGGTCTGCACGCCTGGCTTACAATTCTAAGGTCACCGGTTCGAATCTGTGTAGGAGCGCTCGTCTTTGCGGTATACTCAGCCCACGCACGACTGGTGCTGGTCGCGCGGCAGCGAAGCGCCGTTACGGTGCATAGCTGACGATTTATTTATTTATTTCCTAGCCGGGTTGCCTATTTAATGTGTGTTTGTTGCTGTGATATCTGTGGGATAATAACTAATTATGACGCGGGGCAATGGAAGCTACAAACTAGTTATGTGGTTGACAACCAGCATTTTGTCGACAATATGTAGGTATCTTGATCCTGATTGTTCGTTTGGGGTATTTAGACTTTTCAAAAGGTCGCTCTTCTTCCTCCTCTCCCTTCTCTTATCCATCATTTTCTATGTAATTTTTGTTGCGCGGCAGAGAAACATCAGCTCCAATTGCTGACAGTTCTCATCTTGATGGCGATACTGGCAAGACCGATTGCTGGCCCTCCGAATCTCCTTACTGAATACTATATTATATTAGCAAGTAAAAATATATCTCTGTGCAACTCCATAGAAATAGGACCAAAAACGTTGAAAACAACATTCTATGACCTCGTCGACACATTGAGCTATAATGGGTGGTGCCCCCATGTTCCTTCAGAGCTGCTGCCACCATTTTGTTTAATAGTCAATAAACTATCTCTCTCGGTTTTGCAAAGCTATCAAGCTTCCTTGGCCGAGGCGCTTAGCTGTGACCCTCGTATGACATTGATGAACACTGGACGTTCTTGCAGTGGATCGTGATATCTTCCGGGCAGTTAATCTGTGGTCTCGTCTTGCTCGGCGCCTTACGAAGGCCTGCATCTCCACGCGCTCCTTGGATCTTTTTGAACGCCGCACTAATATCCCAGCAGTGTCTAAACTTACTAAAGTGTGCCGTTCTGTCGGTCGGAAGCTCAAACAGAATTTACGCTATGATCGTGAAGCATGGTAGTCTCAGCATGCTTCGACAATGGAGTTCGCTGCCTTCTCTGACAATACTCACAAGCTCTTCCAGCTCATTCGGTACACTCGCCACAAAAAGGGTGGTGTCACTGAGACTGTTTGCCAAGCGCATAGTTCGCCGATTGCAAAGCCTCAGAGACGCTTGGATCGATGGGCCGAACGATTTCCTTCTTAGTTCAATTGTCCCCCACCATCCACATTTATTCCCTGCGAACCCAACTGCCCGCCCTGGATCGTCACACTTGATCCACTTAGCAAAGCGCAAGTTTGTCTTGCGACTAGGCATTTGGTACGATTCAAGGCTGCCAACTCAGATGGACCTCCTCCGGAGCTGTTCAAATATGGAAGCGCAGTTATCATCAGCCAGCTTACGTCGTTTTTCTCCAAAATCTGTATTGAGGAAAATATACCTTCTTCCTAAATCGAATCAGTCGTTGTCCCTATGTTTAACGAGGGTGATCACACTTTATGCGCCAATCGTCGATGGATTGGTCTTATTTCGCTTGCCTTTAATCTATTGACATCTATTCTGCTCTGTAGACTATTCCCCATCCCTGAATCACAGTACCGGAAAGAACAAACTGGCTTCCGACTTAACCGCGGGTGTGTGGATCAAATACTCACACTCCGACAAATCATCGAACACCGCCACCTTTACCGAAGTCCTACCATTATTGCATTCTTAGACCTCCGTGCCCCATTCGAGTCGGTTGAGTAACCTGCATTATGGCATTGCTTACTAAAGAACGGGGTCCTTGAAAAACAAACTGCAATCCTACACGCACTGTATTTTCACGTCTCTAACGGAGTGAGGGTGTATGGCAGGCTTTCGTCGTCCTTCGCTGTCAATAGCGGTTTACGATAAGGCTGCCCTATGTCCCCTTTCCTCTTCAATTTTGCGATTGAAGATGTCCTGTCGAGAGCTCTCAAAGCTTGTCAAAATGTCGATCCGCAACTACTACTGGGCAAGCGAGCAACCGACTTAGCTTATGCCAATGATATCGCCTTACTTGGCGACGACCCACAGTGCATGCATCTATGTGCGGAATGTGTTTTGCCCCGTCGAAGTGTAAAGTGTTTCTCCGGGATTGGCACTCGCCCTTTCCTGTGTTCACTACTAAATGTACACAGCTTGAACAAGTAGATAGCTTTGTCTACCTAGACAGCTACGTGTCTGTTAGTGGCATTATTGGAAAGGAAGTTTTTCTTTGCATCGCCAAAGCTCGGCCATCGGTCGTCAACCTGAAGCACTTGTGGCTTCTTCGAGATGTCTCTCTCTCTTGGTAAAGAGTCGCGTTTACAGTGCCACCGTTCATTCGGTGTTGCTATCTGGAAGCGAAGCGTGCCCACTTCGCGTGGATGACATACGCCAGCTTTCGGCCTTCGATAATGGGTGCTTGAGGAGGATTGCCCGTGTGTGGTGAAAACAACGGATCTGCAACAGTAAATTCCGAAGTCGTATTTTAGGGAATGCGAATTCCCTTCGACAAACTGATTTTACGAGACCAGTTAAGATAGCTTGGTTACGTTTTACGTATGTCCGCTGAGCGTTTGCCACATTGCGCCCTTTTCGCTGGTGCAACAATTGGCTGGAAGAGACCACGCGGGGATCAGCTGTCCACCTGGCGACATCATATGAAATTGTTGACTTCACGTTTTGATGCCTTTCGATCCACGCGTCTGCCTGATTGGGGACCAAAGGACTATGAATGCTGATGACTGGAAACTATTCAGGATATGACACGCAATTGAAAGCTCTGGGGGATTTGGGCACATATTTGTTCGGATTCAGTAGGTTAATGCCCAACAATTGAAAAGGATGAAAAAATACGGCTTGTGAAAATAATAAAAGTTTCCTTTGTTCCTTATTTGATCTTGGAATTCCGTTTTTTGCGACAGTTTGACCTGTCATCCTCCGTGGATTTCCACGGTTTTTGTTGGCTTTGTGTCTAATCATTGGACTATTTCAAGTTATATATATATATATATATATATATATATATAATATTGCCCAATAACACTTTCTCATTCAATATGGAAGCAAAAGTTTGTATCTCAGTTTAGCCAGCTTGCCAAGCTCAGCCAACTCGTTTCACTCGTTGTTTCTCACGTACTCTATCCACACATTAGTTGGTGACTACCTCCATCCCATATCACTCGGCTTGCGACTCAGCATCGAGTGGTCGAAGTGTTCACTGAGCTTTGCACTTTTCTTGCCAATGTTTTGTCAACAAATGGGGTCGCATCAAAAATTATTTGTTGGGAAGCGACACCGGGCCGTACGTCAGTATGCAACGAGTACTCTTTCGTGCTTTCGTCATTTTTCCGGGTTGATTGTTTTGGCCAGCAGCCCTACCGATTTGGGCCATTGGTCGGCAGGCTGGTAACATTTGAAGTTAATCTATCCGATTGCTGATCCAGGGTTTCTACCCGTTTGATTCTGCAATTGTATCTATTGCCCATTCTGCTCATCAGGTATCCCTTGTCAGGGTTCAGTGTGTCAGTTGATTCATTCGTCGACTATCACACTTGCTATCGAGTAACGGTATGCAGGTCTTGCGCTGATTAGCTTGCGATCTCTCATGACCACCCAATGTCGTCTATATTACAATGAGGTTTATTGGCGTAATTCCTATAACTTCGTTTTTTACATCGCTAGTAGCGTGCCCGTCAACGATATCTGCCACCTAGGGTATATTAGGTGGTAGTTACTGATATTTGGCGCATCAAATTACTGCTTGGGTTCAGGCTTTTCAACAGGTGCACACCGACCCTGTTTATTCATCCTAGACTCAGCTGTCATATTTGTTGCGACAGTGTGTTGAAAGGAATTGCTTCCCCTGTCCTTATATACCGTAGATTTTCTAACACCGTTTCCTATTCATACCGCACATTCACTTATTTGGTGTCGGCTGATACCACTTTTTTGCTGTCTTCAGTTTGCAATGAATTTAACCATGTGCGCACTTGGTTAGTCAATCGTTTCCGGGGTATAATCAGTACTCAACCGGGTTCCGCTCCGATCGCCTCGTTCCACGTCACCTCACTAGACACAAGCGGTGGACAACGTCTGGTAGAGTCGGTGTTGGATTCCGTGCGACGTTGCGCCACGCGACACGTAAATCAGTCGACCCCACACAACGCCCCCATGCTCACTCGTTGCCGTGCGGTCCAATCCCAAGCCACTCACGTCGATCGATCCCAGCTTCAACAAAGACAACATCGACAACCACAATCTTTCCGATTTCCGCACTGGAAACGCCGTGGCTCTCGGTCTCACTCTCCCGGGACCAGTCTGGATCAGCAAGATACCTCCCGTCTCGAGGTTCCTCAATCTCTTCTGGAGAGTGCGAGCTTGACCACTGCAAACGGCATCACTACTTTTAGTCCAGAGAATCCGGACCAAGATCGTCTACCAGAATTCCCCGGTGCTGTAAGACTTTTGGCTGCGGTGAATCAACCGGATGTTGTCGTTTTGCCGAGAACATCATGGCTTCACGAAGATCCTGGGTAGGTCGGGTACTGCTTGATAACTTAATATCATTTCCAAACCGACATTTTTGCTGAATTGGCTCGGTGTTTGCTCAACACGGTCGATCCTCACCTTATGTTCCATTTCCTCCCATCACTGTACTCACCCTGGTACCCATGCGTCTCATAGTTAAAGCGGACTTTTTGCACTTCCTATCGACGACACACTTGCATTGTCTCGTTAGGTCTACAGGTCGTATTTGATCTGATTGCATCTCTAAACAGTCATACGGTGACTAACACCTGTTGGGTGAAAGCTGTGTGTCACTTTAACGTCCCCCCCTTACTCAACCTTATGCGGCCCTGGTCGAGGTCGAGGGTACTGCTGATTTAAAAGCTATTTGTATTGTCATGGATAATAACTCAAGCTCTTCCATTTTACATGTTTGAAATATGGTACCCTCAGACTTTACTCCTCTGGTCGATATTGTGTTACTTTTTATGTTGAATGACGCAACTACAGTCATCTCTATTTAATATACTGATTTGGGTTAGGTTGCCATCACAAATCTGCATTGAGCATTTGTTGCTTTTGTGCGATCAGTGTGTACCATACAAAGTTTTGCTTCATAGTTATCCAGTATGAAGCGGAGTTCGAGGCTAGCCATTGTTCTGATAGCGTGAACAGGAAGTGGAAGCCGATAGGCCAACAACTGCTTGTCTCTTCCGCTTCTTACGATTAAGTGACTCATTCTAGCCTGCATTTGCTTGGCGATGCTAGGTATATTGGTGCGCTGTTAACATCGATGACGTTGTATCCACCACCTCCCTGTATTTTTAGCTTACTCACACAATCATTCGTCAATCAACGTTGACTAACCGTCGCAACGTGACAACCTTAGAATGGTCCGATGATTAGCGCACCTCTTCTGTCCGTTGAACTATATTGGGTGCTACCCCCGGGCCACTTGTGAACTACTACCAGATGGATCGGTGGTTAAAGCTCAGACGAACTCAGACTTCCGGCCCTGCAGGTTGGGGTTACAAATGAGATTGTGTTCATTTCTATACAACCGGATCGTACGATCTACTCGCTGCGTTCTGACCTGACTTTGGCTAAGGACCTTACTCGTTCTCCTGGCTATGTTTGGGCGCCCTGACACCTACAACTTATTGATAAATGGATTTACCATCAAATTCGAGCCACATTCTGCATATGGCGTCGAGCAATTTTAAAAAGGTCGCCTTATCTGCTGAATGCAGCAGGGCGGAGATGAGAAAATATGACACTGCTTTTATCTCCCTTATTTCTTTCCCACCTGTTTCCCTTCCTCCTTTATCTACCTTATTTATGCATTTCCCAGCTTAATTGAAAACATTTACCGTGCCATTGGAGTACAGCCGCCTGCAGCTGATTTCCAACTACACCAAACCCCTATCAAGTAGCGCTGCCATATTTCTCTGGCGGCGTTCGACGTTTGTAATCTAAGACAAATAGGCTGCACTCGCACACATCCTGTACACACTGGGTATTGACTTGTGTTATGTTTTCGAAACTAAGATCTGTGACTCTCTCACGTGGTTGTTGAATTAACTGCGCCCGGCTATTGGTTACACTGATGCGGTAGCAACTCTCCAACTTGGGGTGGACATCGTTCTCAGCTCCAAGGCTGGTTGATTGGATTCTTGTGAATAGCTGTTTGTTTGCAGCCGTTCGGGTTACACTAAGCAGTTAGTGCACAAAATAGAGCTAGACGCTGTCTATTCGCATCTTACGTTTAAACACATGAAGCAGTTGACCGATGTGCGTGGATTAAGCCCCCGGAATCGTCGACAACAGTGGTTGGAGACCCTATCACTCTACCTTTTGCATTTAACTGTTACTATTCATTCCACTTCGATTATCTTTACACAGTTCTTTCTTAACCACTTTTTGTGCTTTCTGTTCGCATTCGACTTCATTTTATCACACTTTTATTTACTGTTATTCTGGGAACAGTTCGGTATTCTGATCGTCGTCATTTAACTGAATTGAACTGAATATTGCACCAGACAGGTATCCGAGAGGCCTATGAAGCTGTTGGGATGCAGCGGAAGATTCCCTGCTGCTTCCAAACACAATGTGGCCGGTCGGGCGATTTCGCGCAAACTGAAACGGAATCTGTGTGTTGCCAAGTAAGCTTGGTGAAGCAAGAGTGTTAGGGAAATGGAAGATGTACCAACGGTGGGCACTTAGTGCAGGCTCTTTCCTCGGTTTTTCACTCCTAGTCCAAGAAGCCTATGCATCAGTTAAACAATTAACGACAATACCATCATCATCATCACCATCATCATCATTATACACGTTAGCTGCAGGTGGAAAACACCTCAGCTGTTGTGCCGTAATACAAAAGAAAAGAAAACATGAAACATTGGCACGCGAGCTGTCACCTGGAATGAATACATTTCGTTCCGGAGAGCTACCAGCCGGCTATTGTGCCGCGAAAAAGTTATATTATGCCTAATAAATGAGATCGTGATTGGAGGGGGAGGGACAGCGAAACTCACAACGCAAACGCCATTGAGGTCAGCTCCTAGTCATGTCAACAAGTGTCGCCAGCCAAACGTGTTCATCGTTCTTCGGTCTCCAACCAGGGAACCGAAACCAGCTTCGAAGTATGGACCTTCATTCCTCTAGACAGTCATCGCTTGGCCACCCTCCTTCCATTTGCACCCGCGGCGCGCAAATAACGCAGTCGCTGGAGTCGGTCGGTTGGTATGCGCAGTACCTACCTAGCCGAGCTATCGGAGCCTGATGCGTGAAATGACGGTGCTGAACGATTCGACTTTTCTTCCTGTGCCATAAACAAGGCGTCGAACATGCTGATTGCTCACACGGTGTTCCCACCAGATCTGAGCTAAGCTGCGAAGGCACCGGTGGTCGAACGTAAGTGGTCTCTTTATATCTGCTGATCTAATGCGCTAGCTTTCACAACCGTACTGTAGGATCTAACGTACGGCTGCGTTGTACACTCCACCCTTCAGGGAGAGTGTGATGTCGCGTCGACGCCATAGGTGACGAAGGTTGGCAAAATCGCTTTGAGCTTTTGCTATACGTTTTGTGACCTCGTCTTCAATTCTAACAGCGCTGATACAATTACCAAGGTAGTTGAACTTTTGATCGCCACCATTGATCAGCGCAGGAGGCTGTCCCTGCCAATCTTGGAGGAAAGCTTTGCACTTTGAGGGTGCGAAATATTGCCCGAAACGGCTAACAGCCAGTGCTAGTCTGTCCAACGCGGCTTGGCACGTTTGTGAGCTGTCAAAGACTAGGGCAATATCGTCAGCATACTCCAAGTCAAGAAGTCGTTCTCATGGGAGCAACTCTGCACCTTCTAGATTGTGTCCTGTGAACGCGATCTCCATGACTTCGTCAATAGCGTAGTTGCAGAGGAAAGGTGACAGCGGACATCCTTGTCTCACACCGCTGGAGATATTGAAGGGCGGCGACAACTTGCTTTAATCCCTGACTCTGCCCTAGCTACACGCGTAAAGCGCTCGGATAATATTTACATACTTCACGGTCACACCTTTCCTTAGCAGATAGTCCCCAAGGGCACGTCGATCCACAGGATCGAAATAATCTTTGATGTCGAGGAATAGGACTACAGTGGGACGCCAATCGATGTGACGATGCTCTAACACTTGACGTAATGTAAATGTGGTTGGTGCATCCCCGACCACGACGTAACCCGTTTGCTCCTCACGAATCTGGCCTTCACGAGCGCCAGCGACAATACCGGTGCGCTATTTCACAACCAAACACCGTCTGGTTTATTGGGTCTCCTGCAATTAGGTCTCTTCCTACTCAGATGCGTTTGGTTGAACAATGACCGGTTGTTTTGGAGCAGTGGTTCTCGACGTGAGGGTAATTAACCCCATGGGGTAAGGTAGAATTTTTAGGGGTAACTATAAGTATGAGGATTGGATCATCAATCATTAACCGAAGATAATTAACGACATACGACATATATATCAAAATATGTACCTAGTTACCTAATCGCTATCAATTATCCATCAGTGACTAATCATTGGTGAGTAGTCAGTGAATTGGAAAATTTTCGGTAACATGACAAGAAATCATAAGTTGAAATCAATAAGTTGAAATCGGTAAGTCACATGCAAGGGAAGTAAACGGTGGCTCCAACTTGAGGACGTACCACCAACTCCAAGGGAGTTTGTGTGTAAGTGGATAGAGGGCACAAAATGGTACCGTCTTGAATCATGCGTCTTCCAGCTGTTCTGTTCAAGTTACTACATGGGACTCAATGTTTCAATTTTCGGTACTGAATTTTATCACCTAAAATACTAATAGAAGCCAGCAGAAGGACGCAGCTCGTCGATCACCAGGCAATCGTTCGCTGGGCCAAGTTACGAAGCTGGGTGTATACTAAGATGGTAGCATGGCTCGGCTGACCAAGTAAATGAGTGAGCGAACGTTTACAAAGTGGAAGGGACAAAACGTGCTATTCGTGTTCATGACTGAAAATAGCTTTCCAAAATACAACCGGCAACATTTTGGACAACCATTGGTGGAAGAAGCATTGAGGATGCTGATCTAATCCGCCACAACTTCTAGGTGAGAGTGGATTTTCGACAATGGTGACAAAGAAAATAATGGCAAAAAGCGGAATAAACAGACCACGATTTACGATGTACATCAGACGAAACCTCACCAAGAACTAAGCAATATCAACCGTCTCACCAACGAAATCATCGCTTGCTTTAACAGAAACTTGCTCAACTATAACTGTTTTCGTTATTTAAATGACCGAAAGTAATGAAGAGTGGTATTTCCCTTAAGGTGGAGACAAAAATGCCATAGATAGTTGACCTTTTAAACTAAAAATTTTTGTAGGGAAATAGTTGATTATGAAACCGCTTTGTGAGTGGTAACAGCTCCAAAAAGATTGAGAACCACTGGCTTCTAGGCTGCATCGGAGACGAACAAATGCTTCACTGTCACAACAGAGACGGGGACCGTGTCATCTTACTTCAAC